TTTTTTTTAGATAGATTCCTCACCCTAACATGAACCAGAACCCTAACAGGCGATGGAAAAGGCAGAGCTCGACGCCCTGCTTAAAGCCGCCGACGTTCTCACGCCGCCATCATCGAAGCGAAAACCCCGCAAACCGTATACCCCCGAAACCCTCTGCCTCCTTCGCCCATTCTTTAATCTGGATGACCCTTTTGACTCTTCAGCCTGGAGCTGCCTCACCACCCTCTTTTACTCCACTTCCAGAGGAGGAGAATTCACCGTCAAAAATCTCACGGCTTTCGACCCCGCAATTCACGTCAAGCGGTCAAACATTTCGGACACCGTGGATCGTAACGGTCTCAAGCAGAAAGACTTCTTCTTACCTCGAACTAAATCAGCTATCCATGGCGAACACGTCTACTGGGCCACACAGACAGGGCCGTCTGATCCCGAGACAGCTCTCGCGAATCATCTGCGCGTAAACGACCCACCAAACGATGCCGCGCTCTTCGCGTATCGTCATGGCACGTCTCATCGTCCCTTGACACGCCCAGCATTCGATAAACGACTGAAGCAAGCGTTCAAAGACGCAGGCATGGACCCGCTTCAAATCCACGGCATACGGATTGGTTCAACCGTCGAATACCTGCTCCGCGGAGTCCCCATTGATGTCATGAAAATCAAGGGGCGCTGGGCATCAGACAGCTTTGAGCGCTACCTCCGCGATCATGCGGAAATCATGGCACCCTACATGCAAGCGCAACCAGCGCTGCATGAAGATGTTTTGCGCATCATGATGCCCCGACGCGTGCGCCATTAAATAAATATCATCTTGTGAGTCTCACTCCTAGCCATCGGGAATACAGCTTCGCGTATGCGTCGCGAGTCTCCTACATCACGGGGATCTTCGCTCACTGCATTCCCCACAGGCTAGTTCAGTTTCCAGCCGGAGGTTTCGTTGCGCATAGTTCGCGCGCTACGAAATTTCGCCCGCACCGAAAACATGTATCATTTCAATTCATGAATATCATGCTTTTCATCTGCAGACCTTCCGAGTACATAGAGGTACAGTATATGTGGTCACGGCATTGTGAAGGAAGGTAGTTTCTGTGGGAAGATCACACGTCAATGTTGGGCAACCAATCGCCAACGCCCGGCAAAAGCCCGTTGATGAACCGGAATTCTCATCACCAAACACACGTCGCCAATCCTGCGCACCAACCCACACCTGCGACATGACCAGCCCCAGCCCAAACTCCAACTTCAACTCCTACTTCGGCGCCCACCGCACCTCGACTTTGACAACCGTCCTCACCGCCTTCGGCACTCTAATAGCCACCTATTACGCCTACAAAATCTTCTCCTTCCTGTATCTCTTCATCTTCCACCGCAGCACGATCTCACGTTACCTCCAACCTGCGATCACACCCGCCGCCTCCTCTACCTCCAAGCATCGCTCCTGGGCTCTAATCACCGGCGCAAGCGACGGCATCGGCCGGGCCTTCGCCCACGAGCTCGCATTTGAGGGCTTCAATATCATTCTGCACGGCCGCTCTCCCACCAAACTCGCCGCTGTCGAAACCGCGCTCAAAGCCCAGTATCCCCACATCTCCACCCGTCTCTTCGTCCTCGATGCCTACCCGTGCAGCGCCCCCGCCATCGACGAGTACGTCCGTGACCTGGCGAAAGACGGCCTGTGTATCAGTGTCCTGGTCAACAACATCGGCGGCGGCTCGCTCGTCAGCCCTACGTTCCGGCCGCTGACGCACCTCGCGGTCGCGGAGGTACAGAAGCTGTTCGACCTGAACGTCGGCTTCCCTACGCTGCTCACACGCGCGCTGCTGCCCATCATGCAGGAGCCGACGCTCGTGCTGAATCTTGGGTCCTTCGTGTCCCACATCCCGGGGCCCTGGCTGACGGTGTACGCGGGGTCAAAGGCGTTCAACATGTCGTGGAGCCGGAGCCTGGGGCTCGAGCTGCGCGCGGAGGGCAAGGACGTGGAGGTCATGGGGCTCGTGGTGGGTGAGGTGCAGTCTGCTGGGCATCCGGGGCCCGTGGGACCGGTTATGTGCAGCTCCAGGACGTTGGCGAGAAGCGCGCTGGATAAGGTTGGGTGCGGGAGACACACTGTCGCGCCGTGGTGGAGGCATGCCGTGATTCTGGCGCTTGTGATGCGTTTGCCAGATGCACTCTTGAACTGGAGTATGATGCGGACGACTAGGGGCCTTATGGAAGAGGAGAAGAGGATGCTTGAAGTGGACAAAAGGAATCTTTGAGCAGTTTTGGGGAGGGAAGAAAACCGGGATTATTGTTATGAGTAGTACTAGTAGCATCTGACCGAGCCCCAAGAAAACGTGTATTAGGGAATGGTACGGCCATGACAAGACACATCCTGGAGGCCAAGGTAAAGTAAAAACGCTGAAGCAATTTTACATCGTGAACTGGGTCGCAAGGTCGTTAGATGTCAGTGAATTGATAGACACGGCGAATTCTTACGCGCCTTGAATTCGCAACCAATGCTTATGAGGATCACCAAAGTTCAGGTCGTATATGTTTGCCAATTGAAACCGGCCAGCGTGACAAGGAAGAAGACCAAAAGTTTCAAAAGCTGTTTCCGAGACAAGTCGCGACTCGGCAGAGGCCATTTTGCCGCCAATTCCAGGGCTACTTGCGTCGATAAAGGCGAAGATAGTTGAGAACAGAGTGGATTTTAAACGGCGACATTGTGGTTAAGACGGAAGAGTTGCTCCCGGCCCGACTCGGCTCCGTCGCACTTTGATTCCCGAACATTTCCACGGTTGATGTTGAAATTATTCTTCCAAGCGTCTTCTACCAGAATTATTGCCTCGTAATGCATCGTTAAGTGTTCTGGCATAAGATCCATGTCCTATGAATGTCCTGCTGTAATTTATTCTACGTAGGTGAATAATTACAAGATGGCGGTAACGCGCACTCAGCGACATTTCGAGGCGCAGTCGGGCAGTACTGGACCCTGGAGTCATGCACAATCAAAGCGAGATATACATCACCCCGTCGCCTGCTGACGCGCTGACGTTGGAGACTGAGTTCCATTCGGGCCGCTATCAAATTCATATGACACACAGGGCCGGCTGCAGAATATTCCAGAACGCTGAACTCTACTTACATATAGGAGCCGACTGCGCTGTAATAGCAATCTAACTACCATGAACGCTCCCCCTACACCCTCAAACCCAAGCAATGTCACAGATTACAAAGTCAACCCATTCAAAATCGACCTTTCGAGCAAGGTTCCGCATTTGAAAGATCTCCTCAGCAGAACGCGACTTCCCGAGAAAGAACTTTACCCAGACGACGGACCGGATAAAGGGATTAAACTGGATGTCCTAAGAGGCCTGAAGGACGAGTGGTTGCACAGTTATGACTGGGACGAGGAACAGGCGAAGTTGAACGAGTCAGTCCATCCATCATAATCCGACAGAATGTCTGACTGACGCGGGTTGTCAGATTCAAACACTTTACGGCGGTCATCGAGGGCCAGAAAATACATTTCGTGCACGAGAAATCAGAGGACCCAGCAGCGATTCCAATCATACTCCTCCATGGCTGGCCTAGTACGTCCGTCTGTCCTCGCTGTATCTGTCGCATTGGATTGACGGTGCCCTTCTTTAACCTCCAGGCTCCTTCCACGAATTCACACCGGTAATCAAACCGCTCACGGAATCCTGGACGAACGCGGCGGGGAAGAAAGTCTCGTACAACGTCGTTGTGCCCTCCCTCCCGGGGTTCTTGTTCTCCTCCGCGCCGCCAGTGACATGGACCACGGACGACACCGCGCGCATTTTCAACACACTCATGACCGAAGTTTTGGGGTATCCGAAATACGCCGTTCACGGCACCGATTGGGTTGGTATTCCTTCCTCCACTCTACCATGATCCATGCTTATGCTGGACGTTGCATCAGGGCTGCGTCGTCGGCTACTCCCTCTACAAAACCTTCCCCACAACCGTCCGCGCCGGCCAATTCGTGTTCATCCCCTTCATCCCCCCGTCCCCCGACCAGATCGCGGCGGAGGGGATCACGCTGACGGCGGAGCAGAAGGTGACAGTGGAGCGCTGCATCACGGCGGGAACGACCGGGCTGGGGTTCCGCGATATGCAGATGAACAAGGTAGGTTCTAACTTCTCGATGGCGTCCGATCAAACACTGAGAGGCCTTTGAAGCCGAACGACGTCGCATTATCACTGTTCGATAATCCCGTTGGCCAACTTGCGTGGATTGGCGCAAACATCCTCCGCTGTGCGTCCCTCTCTCCTCTCCTCTTGGTTTCCACTCACTTTTCACCTTTACGCATATGGTAGGGTCGGACCCGCGCGCCGGAACTAATCCCTCCCAACTCACCACTACCACCCTCCTTACGATGATCTCCCTCTACTACCTCACAGACTCCCTCCCTCCCTCCCTCCTTATCTACGGCGCCAATCCCGCGGCCTTCAACATCACTTATGAAAAAGCCTCCACGGACGCACCGATGTTATTCAGCCAACACAAGTACAACGTGGCGTTCTGGCCCGAGAAGTCCGTGGCCAAGGTTGGGAGGTTGGTGTCCTATAAAAGTACGTTGCGTCGCGCACCCTTTAAGCTTAACATCGCGTTAACAATCTAACCCGCAGTGCACGAATTCGGCGGTCATTTCCCCGCTATTGATAATCCCCCAGCGACGATTGAGGATATTCGGGAGGTTGCAGCATATTGGGAGGGCTGAGAGGGTATCGACGCTTAATCCATAGGAGGATGTTAGTTGAATTTCATTGATTTGTTTGCGATGGGGCTCGACGAAGGAGCGAATCTGAGTCTCTCGGAAATTTTCAACTTTTCTTCAGAATTCGTCACACCGTATCTCGGCCAACTCTCGGCATCTTCTCTCCATCGTGAAAATCCACAAGTCCCCGACCCCTATCGGCCTTGGGGCATTCCGCTATCTACAAGTGTTTGATTGGCATTCCGCTATCTACAAGTGTTGATTGTTGACATTGTCACAGCATTAATGGGGTAGTGGTAACCTGGGTCGTTGCCATCTCGAGGTGTAATGTACTTCGACCCGCCGGGGGTTCGATTCCCTCTTAATGCATACGTCGGGCCGAACATTTTTGCTTCCAATGCCTCTCTCGACCACGTCGTTCTAGTGCCCCAAAAACCGCCACGAATGTTACAATGCCCAAGAGATTCCCCGCGTCGAACGTACCAAGCGGCTAAGATAGGCCTCATCCATAACCGACCGATGCGTGACAGCAGGATAATAATAACTTTTTCTCTACAACAAGGATGGAATCAAAAAATTTGCTTCGAGGAACTCTTTATATTTAGTCTAAGTGTACCTACAAATATTTCTGAGGTTCTCCCGGTTCAACTGAGAGCTGTGAAGCTTTTTTGGTCGTGTTGATGGCAGGTTCTGAAAATTTTAATCCCGTCAGGAAAAAAGCTTCACAGCTTTCAGTTCATGCTCATAAATCCCCAAGATATTGGAGAATGTGTGTTGGAAGGTTATCAAGAGATCCTCGAAGCAAATTTTCTGATTTCATCCTATGCGTTGAGATCTAGTTCAAAAGAAATTTAAAACACCCTGTGACGGTCACATCGGTCGGTTATGGATGAGGCCTATCTTATCTCTTGGCGATCGACTTTTACCAAAAGCCGGTAAAACACGTTCTGTCGGCCTCGTTCTGTCGCTACGACTCGTTAGTCTCTCTTGATAGACAGCGACACTCGTAACCTCGTTCTACACCAGAAACGCGCGTCTTTCAAGTTCGTCTCCTTCTCTGGCGAGGAAAGCTTGCGCATCCATCCACATGAGATCCATTCTACTACTGGCCGTACCTCTTCCCCGAGTTCGGCCGCCTTGGGGCGGAATTTTCCTGGGACCAAAGACATTGGCCCGAAGTACAACCGAACACTGGGGCCTATCCAGAACTCTGCTACCCATGTTGTGGCAACCCGTGATGCGTAATTGCGAGCTCTCCCCGCGAAGAACAGTCGACCTAGCAGTAAGAAAAGTTGTCGTGGATGCGTAAATTGAATTCGAATCCCTCTTATGATATTTTTCAGATCCCTGTGGATCCCCACTCGACCCTGGCTGTTATCACAAACGTCTTGCCGAGTGGTACCGTGGAACCCTCAGCTCTCCCGCGCCAAAACCCCGCGTGATAACCTCCGGCGAAACAGCTCCTCTACTACTCGCAGTTCACAGACCCCCGGACCGGTTCCAAATCGATAATCGATCACAAGGTAGTATCCGGCTGCAGTTGGAAAACACTTTTAAAGAGCAAGGGAAAAGCGCTCGGACCATCCAACCGCCATGCTCCATTGGACAGCCCTCCTCGCACTTTTATCCGTGGTACGCGCCTTGCCGGAGCGTATCGCACGGCAGACCAACGACGGCGTGCACTTGGCCATCACCCCGACGTGTGGTAAATTGGGCGGGACGTTCGTGAATGCCAATGCCGGTGTCGTCACAGCCGGTATGAAAACACTCGTCTCTTTCGGTGTAAACTTTTGCATGCGTGACCGATTTTTCTAAGCTAATTGCGGCGACGAGTAGGATTCGTACACATCGGGCGGGCGCAGCGATGGCGGCCCGCTTCCAGCCGCCGTCCTTGTGGGCACCAGTCCGCGTGCAGGCGGCCGCGTCACGGACGGCCCTGTTTGGGCTGAGGACCTAGCAAGTGATTTGGGTGCGACCATCATGGACTACGCTGTACGTCTATCTATTTCCCGAAGGGAACCGGCGCCGTACTAATTTTGAGCGAGGTTTCTGGTGCGGTAATCAATGTGACACTTTGGCCGAGCGAGGCAGGCCAGACAGATTTCCTCCACGAAGGTGCGGTGTGCATTGTGATCGGCACTACTTTGACTAAAGGTTGGTAACAGCTGCTCTCTTCCTCAGCCAGAATAACAATCTCAACCCTGCGACTACACTGTACGCTGTTTTCTTTGGAATCAAGTAAGCTGGGAATATTATTAACATTCGTGCGACTGCGAGCTTGACATCGATTCTCCAGCGACGTCGGCGCTTCCAAAAGTACGTAGCGATCTTTATTATCGGGGGAGACTCAAAGCTCAAGCCTTTATAGCCGATGGAAACCACCTCCCCCAAGCCGCCGCAGAACTCATCACACAAATCCAACAGCTCGCCGCCGCACCAACGCGCGCGAAGAATATTCTTGTTCTCGACGACTACGGACGCGGGACGCATTCCGCCACCGGCGATGCCTTTAAGCAAGACGTTTTCAATGGCCTCAGCACGCTCCGCGCCCAAGGCCTCAACGTCGCCTTTGTTGATTTCGCACCGCTCTGGGATGCCGTCCTAGGTACTTCCCCTGGCTTTGCGGCGTTCGGATACGATACTTCTGGCGCGTGTATCCCGAACCTGGCTCAGACTAACTTGACGGGAGAGTGTTCGACGCCTTTGAACTCGTTCTACTGGCTTCCCGGGTAAATCGCCCTTGTTGTTTTCTGGGAATGAGGGTGCTAATGTTGTTATAGACACCCATCGAAAGAAACGCATCGGATCATGGCCAACTATGTTGAGTTTGTGTTAGCAAATTGCACGGCATGAGTACTTGAGTCCCTTCATCCTTCGTCTTTATGATTATCCTGCTTTCAAATGTACCGTGGTAGCATCATTCCGTGAATCAACCTTGTTGGTGCGTCCGGTCCGGTCAGCTCGGGGATGTTGTATTTTCCTGATGGCATCAGCGTGGAATGTTTCTTTCTACAGATATTACACCCCCGGGTCTCCAGCTTCCTCCGCCTTTCATCGGCAAATTTCCTGCACCTTCGCCGCTCACAGTTTACCTCTACTCCGCGCTCTTAAATCTGTAGCAATGCGCTTTGCCCGCGTATTCATGAAGGCGTCGGCATCATGATCGTCTAGCCCCATGCTGAGCACCCCTCTGACGAGCGCCAGATCGCGAGACGCGGTATTATCAAAGTGCCATTATGCCCCAAAATTCGTTATAAAGGCCCTCGTCGGTCCGCACGTCGGTCTCGTAACGGAACGTCGCCGAATAGCTGGGATGCAGGACGGGCATATGGGTCGCGATAGTATGGTGAAGCTGTGCGATGCTCCGAGGGACATAGGACTGCGAAGACGCGTGTACAATGCCATTCGTCGCACGATCCAGGTGTAGAAGGAGGAGATTCGCGACGAGGTCAACCGGGATTTCGTCCACGATGTTCGAACCAGGTCTGTGGCGTGGGGAGACATGGATGACGCCAGAATCCGGAGCCTTCATGTACTCCCTGATATACGTTGACAGGGGGCAGGATCCTGCACGGGCGTAGTATGGATGAGGCTCCGAGATCGCGGGAGCGATGCATGTGGGGCGGAGGATGAGGAGGGGCAGTGTTGGATGTCGAGACATGAGCAGTCGCTCTGTCATATGCTTTGCGCAGGTGTACGGCCAGATCCAATGAGGAACACTACCCGGGTAAAGGGAGCCCGTCGCGAGAATCTCGGCGAGCTGATGTTCTACGTTTCCTACTTCGTAAATTTTCTCCTCCACCTTTCCGTCCGGGAGGAAGCAGTTTGCATATGCGCTGGACACATACGCAAAGGTAGAGAGCCTGGTGAACCTTGATACCGCTAATTCTGCGAGTCTCAGGGTGGGGAGACAATTATTGTAGATAGCCTGTTGCAACGGTGCCTTCAGGCTGATGTTTGCCGCGGCATGGATAACGAGGGTGACTTTGTCGGCCATCTCGGCCAGGACCGCGGGTCCATCCCAAAGTCTTTCTCAACCACATCTCCAACGACCAGTTGAACCTTCCCCGACGCCAATATGGCGTCAATTTCCTGGGGCATGCTCTTTGCCCATTGTGCTCGCGCGCGCGCTTCGGATTTCCGGACGAGCACATAGATTTTGTGCTCGTCGAGTTTCAACGCCAGCTTGAAAAGCAGACATCCGCCGAGCAGGCCAGTCCCCCCAGCGAGAAATATGGCTTGGCGTCTAAAGAACTTGGAGGGATCGTGTTCCATAGCTGAGCATTGGAGGTAAGTACAAGTTAGATCTATAGAGCTGTCATGTTTTAGAATGGCTCACCCAGTTCAAGGACGAGCGGGGAGGTCGAGAGGAAGGATAATCGTACGACCAAGCACCGAGTTTAAATAGGCTGGTTCACCCACCCTGTTCGCTTCTCGTCCGAAGTCGCTGGTCCGCGACCACGCAAGCCGAACGATGAATCTGAACTTCCTCTACCAGTCGTTCGCCTGAATTCGCAACTCGGTCCATTTTGAAAAGCTGGTAGGTCGTAAACAGTAACACAGTAACATGAATACAAGACGTTCTCAACGTGAATGAAGGAGTGGATGTTCCGTAAAATGCCAATGGAAAATACAGTAGTAACTGAATCAAGATGGTCGGATAAATGAGGAAACGTCGTCCAAATGAAACCCGTCCCGCGTTCACTCACCCTGCCGCTGCCTCCTCAGCATCGCCCGGAACGCCCGCAAGCGCGCCATGAACCTTCCCCACCACGCCCTCGACTTCCTCAACCTCGCGCGCAACGGCACCCGCAGATCGAGCGACGCCGGCCGCGAAACGCGGGACGGCGTCGACGGCTGGTCGCACGAGTACACCGAGGGCGAGGAGGACGGTGCGCGCGCGGAGCCGGGGAGGATGCCCACGTCGAACCACGTCATGCCGCCCGGGATGAGGCCCAGCCCCTGGTCGACCGCCGCATGCAGCGATTCCATACCCAATTCCGTCTCGCGCCCGAGCTCGGGGTCGTCGTCCGGCGCGTCATCCTCGCGTGCGGCACGGCCGTGCAGATTTACGTCCGTGAGTGGGAGTGGGCGCGAAGTGGAATTGAGATTGGAGTTGGAGTTTAGGATTAGTCGGGGAAGGGTGGGGGTGGTGGGCTCCTCCGGCGTGCGCAGCAAGTCCTCCGCGGACTCGTACTGGTTGTGGGTCTCGGACGACAGCTCAGGCGTCGATGTCGATGCTGCGGCAGACACTGGCGACGCGAGGACCTCCTGCGTCGCGTTTGCCCACTCCGCTGACGAGTTGGTGTCCACGCCCTCGAGCTTAATCTTCACAGCCTCCGGGAGGGGTTCGAGGCTAACCGTGGACC